CCTTGTTGAGCATAACCTTGCCTCGTCGCGCACCTTGAGCCCGACGTGAAATGCTTTCCAGTAAAGCCCGCTTTCCGCTGCCTGCACACACGAAAAAAGTCGTAAATTTACTGCCAGCATTTTTTTTTTCGGGTCAAAACTTAACCATCAAAATACATGCATTTACCTTGCAATGCTGTAAAGGTGTAGAATAGAAAAAATTACCTTTCGAGCCCAAGATTGCCATCACCTCTCCGGAATGAATTTCGAAAGACACGTCTCGCAAAATCACGTCAGTTCGGACGCTCCCCACCATCTTCTGGAACCATGTTCCCGGCTCCACCTTAAAAAAAGAGAAAAAACTCATGATTATGGACACAATTTAAATTACATTACACATAATTCAGATAAATCAGATTCATGATGAGTGAGTTAGATATATAGATACAAGCTTTCTTTGCTTCTTGTACTGCATACAATACAGTCAAACCCTGATAAGAGGCCATCATTTGCAATGTCTATATTTAGAGAGCTTTTGGCAGTTTATGGAAGAGTTCATTTTTAAATTATTTGAATCAAAATTATTCAAATTTCCTTGAAAAAATAGCAAATATACATGTTTCTAGAAACTTGAGAAAATGTTCGATCAACGAAATGGGAAAAATTGCCGTGAAAATCAAAGTCCACAAGTGAGATTTGTTTTAGAATTTTGAGTGCTGCTGGATGAACACGTATACTTTAATGAGATCATATATACACTGATGTGCATAATTGATTCTCGTTCGAGAGCATTTTTTTAGGCCTCGCTAAAATTTGTTTGAAGGTTCATATATGGGATAAGTTTGAGTTTAACGAATTTCTATTCTTCGGTCCTTATCAGCAGCTACTTTTTTATAGCATGAAATACAATATGATGTATTTTAATGCGCTTTGCATACGTAACTGTGCTCATTCACTACTGTATAGACTTTTGGTAGACGGATTTTTTCAAGGCAACCGAGCTACTTGAGGTGTCATTGTACAACATTTTATGTTCTACGAATAAGCTTCAAGCACTAACCTCGCCGGTCTGAGAGACATCACAGAGCTCGAGCAGGTAATCACTGCCCAGCATTTCGATTGCGTCGCCAATCTGAACAATTTACTAAGACTGACACCCGAATGTTGTACAGTACACAACTCAGA